TATAGCTGTTTCACATTTTTTGAAAGGGTTGGAGCCCCGGTGGTGCAGTGGTTAAGAGTTCTGCTGCTAACCAAAAGGTCAGCAGTTCGAATCCACCAGCTGCTCCTTGGAAACACTATGCGACAGTTCTACTCTGTCCTATAGGGTCACTATGAGTTGGAACTGACTCGACAGCAATGGGTTTGGTTTGGTTTTATTAACATGACTAAGGAGCCCTCATGGCACAATGGTTAAGTGCCTGACTGCTAACCAAAAGGTCAGCTGTTCGAATCCACCAGCAGCTCCATAGGGGAAAAGAGCTGGCAATCTGCTCCTGTAAAGACTACAGACTAGGAAATCTTATAGGGCAATTCTATAGGGTTGCTAGGAGTCAGAATTGACTAGATGACAATGGTTTTTTTTTGTGTGTGAAAGGGTTAAGTTCATGAATTAACAATACAAGCATGAAGAACAGGCCAGGAAAACCTGATTCAACATTAAGCCAAGGTCCAACATTAAACCAAGGGCTGAGTGACAAATTCACGATTTCTGAATATTTTTCTTTAAGAATAGTAAAAATTCATAAAACTTGGGTGAAATTTTTGGCACTCAAACAAACCTTCTTTACACACTTTCTTAAAGGAAACTGTCTTAAATGCTGATGAGCCAGTTTTTAAATTTATTTTTATACTCGGGATTGGCATCCTGTTTCTCAGATATAGTCTACATTTGGCTACAATAAGAAAGTGCATTAAAATCACGCTACTGATAGAATTATTATGAGTGAAGTAATATTAGCATTCAACAATATTGGCATTTAAATGGTTATAATTACATTTCTAGTTCAATGTTACTCTTAAGTTGAATGCAGAAAGCCTTTGTTTCTGCGTTAACGTCCTATACCTGGGTCTGTGATCTCCAAAAGGTAAGCTGAATTTGCCTTTCATTCAAAAAAATAAGTTTCTCCCTGGTTGTATACAGAAGAGTTCTATTAAGGAAAATAAACTATATTCTGGAGAAATCAGCAGAAATTCATAGGCCCTTAAGCCTCCCCAACCAATTTCTGTTGCTTTAGGCTTGAATAATTTTAGTGAATTGCGATAAATTTGAATTCCCTCTAAATTCCTAACTTTGGGAGGAGAGAGTCTGTTCTTATTCCAATATTAGGAAGGAATGAAGGAATATGAAATCATTCCAACTGTATCGAAGGTATTTAAAATACTATGAAAGTCCCTATATTCGCTGTGTTCCCTGTGAGAGATACAAAGATGAGAGATGATTGTGGGTGAATCACAGTTCTATTTTATCTGGAGACCTGAGGGCTCTCACTGCTCTATTCCCTTAGGGGGTCATGTTCCTCTGCTCAAAAGAATATTGCCTGCTCTGTGAGCTAATGATTTGTTTGGAGGATGCAAGTCTCAGAGGTGAAGATAACTGCGGAGATTTATAATGTATCTTTCAGATGTCTGATCTGCTTTTTTCTGAATACATGGGACCCCTCAATAGCAAGATTAAAGATGCCTCTCCAGAGAAGAAAGGCAAAATTTGAAAACTTAAAAGCACTCAGATTTCCAAATAATATTTTTGTACTTCTTCATTTTGTCAACATCACATTTGGTGAGTGTTGTCCTTCATTCATGTGATAATTGGATGGTAATCAAAATACAGCATTGGATCATAGGCTTCTTCGTATTTTACAAGGAGACAGGGAAACTATGAATTTTGTTTTCAAAAGTGGTTAGTACAAAGTAGTTTATGACTTAGACATGTACGCTCATTTTGAATTCTGTTTAACTCAACAAAGATTTACTTGGTACCTAGTAGATGCCAGACATTATGTCATCTTTTGTAGAGAATATCTTATATACATATATATATATTTTAATAATACCTGTATTTTATAACTATAGGAAGTTGTTGTTGTGTGCTGTCAAGTTGATTCTGACTCTTAGTAACCCTATAGGACAGAGTAGTACTGCCGCATAGGGTTTCCTAGGCTGTAATCTTTATGGAAGCTGACTCCCACATCTTTCTCCTGCGGAGCAGCTGGTGGGTTCGAACTGCCAACTTTTTGGTTAGCAGCCGAGTGCTTAACCACTGAACCACCAGGGCTCATATAACTAGAGGACAGAGGGACCCAGTGCGTGAAGTGGTAAGTGGTATTCTATTGGCCTAAAAGAGTCAACAAATTCCTTTGTGTCTAACTTTCTATTAGGTAATGGTTTATGCTATGGAGCAAATGAAATACCAGGTTGTTGGTTCATCTCTATGACTTAAGAACAAAAAAGTTCAAATCAAATAAGAAATGCTTCTTCATATTACAAAAGTTTTGCTTTATGATTACATTTGAGTATCACGAAACACTTAAAATCTTTGCTTTAAAAAGTTTGATTTACAAACAAATAATTTTCAAACAAATGTAACCCAAAAGTCAGCCACAGGCAGTAATGATTTTTTTAAAAAATAACCTACCTATTCTGAACTTCTTAACTGGGAACAGTAGCCTAGCAATCAAACCCAAAGCCCACTGCCGCTGAGTCAGATTCCGACTCATAGCGACCCTATAGGACAGAGTAGAACTGCCCCATGGGGTTTCCAAGGAGTGGCTGGTGGATTCAAACTGCTGACCTTTGGTTAGAAGTTGAGATATTAACCACTGTACACCAGGGCTCTGTAGTTTAGCAAAGTTGACATATAAAACTGACCACCACAACTCCTTTAGTTATTTTTTTTAAACAATATTTTATTGTGTTTAAGGTGAAAGTTTGCACAGCAAGTTAGGTTCCTATTTAACAATTTTTATACTAATTATTCCATGATATTGGTTACATTTTTTATAATGTGGTCAACATTCTTACTATTTCCATTCCGTTTGTTCTGTTTCCATTAATCTAGCTTACCTGTCCCTCCTTACTTTCTCATCTTTGCTTTAGGGTAAATGTTGACCGTTTGGTCTCATATAGTTGATTAGTTAAGGGAGCACAGTACTCACATGTGATATTGTTTATTTTATAAGCCAACCCATTATTTGGGTGAAAGGTGACCTCCAGGAGCGGCTTCAGTTCCAAGTTCAAAGGGTGTCTTAGGGCAGTAGTCTTGGGGGTTCCTCTAGTCTCTATTGGTCTGGACTTTTTTAGGAATCTGAGTTTTGTTCTACATTTTTCTCTCATTCTTTCCGGGACCTTCTATTGTGTCCCTGGGCAGAGTAGTCAGTAGCAGTAGCTCAGTACCATCTAGTTCTTCTGGTCTCAGGCTAGATGAGGCCATGGTTCATGTGGGCTATTAGTCCTGTGGACTAGTTTCTTCTTTGAATCTCTGGTTTCCTTCATTCTCTTTTGTTTCTGATGAGTACAGACCAATAGTTGTATCTTAGATGGCCGCTTGTAAGCTTTTAAGATCCCAGACACCACTCACCTAGCTAGGATGGACAACATTATCTTTATGATCTGTATTATGCCAATTGACCGAGTTGTCCCACGAGACTATGGTCCTAAGCCCTTCAACCCAGTAACCCAATCCTGTGAGGTGTTTGGATATGTCTAGAAAGTATTCATAACTCTGCCACCTATGTGTTTTATTATATATATGAACATAAATGCAACACACACAAACACATATATACATATGCCTACAGATACATATATACATACATATCTACCAATGTAAGCACACACATTTTTTGGATGCTATTACTGTTGTTGCAAAATTTTATGTCATAGCATTTACCAAAATTATCCCTGATTCTTGTGTACTTCTTGTTGTCTTCATTTATGTTGGTCAAGTTGTGCAGACTTCACCCATATTGAGTATTGCCTTTCCCATCACCAAAGATAACAAGTGGCTACTATCTAGAAAGTGATTCCCTCTCCCTTCCTCTCCCATCCCTGGTAACCATCAAAGAACGTTGCTTTCTGTGTGAATACTTACTCTTGACTTTTTATAAAACTGAGACCATACAATATTTCTCCTTTTGTGATTGACTTATTTCACTCAGCATAATGTCCTCCAGATTCATCCATGTTACAAGATGTTTCGCAGACTTATCATTATTCTTTATAGTTGTGAAGTATTCCACTGTATGTATGTACCACAGTTTGTTCATCCATTAATCCATTGATGGGCACTTGTTTCCATCTTTTTGCTATTGTGAAGAATGTTGCAATGAACACAGGTGTGCACATGTCTATTTGTGTCACTGCTCCTATCTCTAGGATATATACCTAGGAGTGGGATTGCTGGATCATAAGGTATTTCTATTTCTATCTTTTTGAGGAGGCACCATACCATTTTCCATAGTGGTTGTACCTTTTCTCAATCCCACCAGCAGTGTATAAGAGTTCCAATCTCCTCACAACCTCACCAGCATTTTTTTTATCATTGCCATTTTTGCAAGGGTGAGATGGTATCTCATTGTAGATTTGATGTGCATCTCTCTCATGGCTAATGATCGAGAGCATGTTTTCATGTGTTTGTTGGCCTCCTCTTTAGTTATTAATTGACCATTTTGACTCTAATTTTTCACAAGGAAACACATGTAGGAAAAAGTAGAATTAGAGAATTACTACCAAATATTTTTCTAAATTAATACTCAGACCCAAATTAGGCAAAAACTAATTATAAAATGAACTACTATCAGAAAAGTAAGCGTATAATATAATCTAGCATCTATCAACACTTGCTCTTGTCAGTAAGGTATGACACTGAACGCTTAAAAAAGAACTTATTTCGCATTCTTTACAACTGTTCAGTACATACTGTTGATTATTTAAGATACCTGAAAAAAAAAGTATGATTGTGATTTAGCAAATTGAACAAATCATTGCCACTATTTCATGCTTTCCTTAAACATTGAGTGTATAATGCAAAAAGTACATTCAATCTTCGTGTAGTAATAAATAAATAAAATTAAAATGACCAATAAAGTTAAAATCACCAATGGTTGAATAAATGTTTACAAGAAAATGACTCAACCACTAAGAATGATACGAAAACTAAAGTGTGCCTCAAATAAAGTGCCTTACCAATAATCAGGTCAGGGGCAATGTCACTTCGACTCTCCTTCCACGACAGCAGGTGGTCAAGGCTGGTGATGTCTGCAGTTTCTATACAGTTGTTAATTGTCAACATCAGCTGGTGCGCTTTCGCTATCCCGTAATGAACTTTTGTTTCGTTCATCAGAGGCATGTTCATTAGCTCTCTTGTTGTGTCAAAAGCTTGCTGGAAGTATTCAGAAGCTTTGCTATAGTATCCCTAAAAATATAATAGAAATAATAATTTTTTTTAATGTTTATTTTGCCATTTCTCATAGCCACCCACTCCTCCCTGGTATATCCCACACTGATCTTTCAACAGTCATCAGAGTTCATCTTCAAGAAGAAAGTGAGGGCAAGCAAGCTCTCTATTAGAATAAGGTTCTTTTAAAGAGTCATGATTACTCGCTATGGAGTATCTTGAAGCTAATTTAGCAAGAAAGCTGTATCTAACAGGTGGAATCATATGAAACTTGAGTTTTTTGGATAAAACATGGTCAAATATTGGCAGTTTCATATACTTCAGTCTAATACATGGTAGTGAAAAGAAGTTTGGGAAAGACTGAACCAATTTACTTTGATTTGGAGGGAATTTTCTGACTCACAGCACTAAATTTACCTAATGAAATATTTTTAACCAGCTTTCATTTTTAGTCATGGAAACAGCAAGAGGCCATTTTTTAGCCAACCACTGTAATCAGTGCTCATTGGAAATAAATGAATTAATCTGCTGGTTCAGGCTACTGCCCTTGCTTTCCCACGTGCAAATGTCATTCTTGACTCAGAATACTGAGGTATCGGTGCATTCTTTAAAATATGGGCTTGATAGTACTGGTACAAATCAAAGGATGATTTCATTGTCTATCCCGCCTCTGAAGAGCCCTGGTGGTGCAGGGGTTAAGTGCTTGGCTGCTACCTGAACAGTCAGCAGTTGAAATCACCAGCAGCTCCGAAGGAGGAAGATGTGGTAGTCTCCTTCCTAAAGATTACAGCCTTGGAAGCCCTATGGGGCAGTTCTACTCTGTCCTACAGGGTCGCCATGAGTTAGAATCGACTCGATAGTAACGTTTTTTTTAAAATCCCACTTCTAAGTCCTTTGCAACATTTCAAGTTGCAAAATTATGATTTTTTATTTATTTAAAAATTTTTGCGTCATCCTCACCTCTTCAAAGGTTTGTTCACAAATAAATAGTGGTGTTTACCTAGCTCTTACTAAGCTTTAGGGCCAGTGCTATGTGACATATATATATAAGATATATTTAACCTTCACTGGTCACTAGTCACCCTATGGAGAAAGTATTATTTTTATTTTACAAATAAGGAAATTGAGGTTACGCTACCCCTAAATATTCAAAAAAATCCTTATCAAAAACTTCCTTAAAGGAGGATATTATTTCTAGGATTGAGCTATACTTGCAAAGGCTCTAGGGAACAAAATTCCCTTTCTCCACTGACTCACTACGCTTTGGGCTCAAGCCGACTGAATAAAGAAGTTGCTAGCAAGGTGAGGAGGGGGAGAAACAGGGCTTATGTGACAGTTATGTATCACACATGAGCAGCACTTATAACTGTACCTGCATCGTATGCCTGCAGGGACAGTTTATTCAAATGGTTCATTCTAGACAATTAAATTAGCTAATTTAGACACAGTCCCTCTATATTGTATCAGTAATCATTTTTGTTTGTGAGGGGAACATTTCTTTCCATTATTTCACAGTAGAAAACATAGAATATATATAAGATTACTCAATTAGGAAAAATAAAACTGTATCAAAGATATTTGTATGTCGATTAACTAAAGTATGTGAGAAAAAACAAGAATATTGAAAATATTAAAAATTAGTTAAAATTATAGATTGGCTGAATTACCAATTGGATTTGTTCTGTAAGACATCGAAGATATAAGAAAAAATATATGAAAACATATAATTAGACCAAACTTCACTATTTTTAGAAACAGAGAAGTATAAATATTTAATTAATTATTGTTCTGTTTACACTTCTGAGCTTCAGGCTCTTTATTGTTTTAGGTAAGAGTCTTAACTAGGAAAATTAGAGGCCATAAATAAACAGACATATATTTTAACTTCCAGAATTCTTTAAAAAAATATATTAGAATTAACTCATTAATTTATGTTCATTCATTCACTGAGTAACCACTATGTGTCAGGGATTCAGTAGTGAACTGAATTTATAGCCAAGTGGGCCAATCTACTATTAATGGCAGTGTTGATATGCCTAAAATATAGATTACCACTTAACAATAGTTGTGATTGAGTCAATTCTGATTCATGGCGAGCCCATGTGTGTCAGAGTGGAACTACTCCACAGGGTTTTCATGGCTGATTTTTCAGAAGCAAATCACAGGCTTTTCTTCTGAGGTGCCTCTGGGTGGACTCAAACCTCCAACCTTTCTTTAGCAGTTGAGTATGTTAACCATTTGTACCACCTAGGGACTCCAAAACCTAGATTAGCTCTTATTTGACATTGCTTTTCTTTTTTTTTCAAAATAAGAGCATTATAACTAGATAATTATTCTTCCCTGCCGTCAAATTGTACCTAGTATTCAGTCTGTAGACCCACACATAAAACCAACGTTGACTTACTTTTCTCTAGTTCAAAAAATCTATTAAGAAAATACAACATTAACTCTTCTCAGATGTCAGTATTTTGTATACATACCGTTTTGGAATGAGATTTTACTAATGTGTGTCGTGTCTCCAGATTTTTAATTCCTAGAGTTTAATATCTAAATTTAATCCCTTCTCAAAAGGTTCTGTCCAGTCTTCAACAGTGTATTTCAGTAAGCAGTTAATTCCTATTCTAGTATAAAATTCAGAAGATTCCACTAATTAATTCTGACAATCTTAAATATGAATTTGAGAATATACAAGTGAATTTATACACTTCATAGATGTATTTTACTGGAAGACACAATTCATTTAATATTACAAATATCACTGATAAACATTTAGTAGGTAATTCCAGAACAGAACCTTGATGACATCATAGACTTTGAAACAAAGCTCACATTGTTACATTTTAACATGGAATTTTTACGCATCATTCTGATCCTTACTAGACACTTACTAGTGTCTAAAATATCACTCTATCCAATGATAAAGTTCAAAATATACAGGCATTTTTCTCAGCATTGAGAAAGAACCATTACCTACCCATTATTCCTTCTATTTTAGTGTTGAAACTATCATCCTCTTAACTATGTGACTGTTCTCTGATCTAACTAAAGAACAAGAAATCTCATAAAGGACCTGTGCCTAGTTCTTTTTTTCAAACATAGTCATTTGATCAGTTAACACATTAATCTTAATCATATGTTTTCAATTGGCAGTCCCTCAGAAGATGACATCAGGAGGGCGGGGTGGGTGGCTCACTTCTGTGATTATATTAGTCAAAGGTAAACTAGTTAGGGTTAAAGAGATTTTAAAAATGAGCTAACTTTAATTATTATAGGAGTGGCCCTGAATGGTGCAAATGGTTAACACGTTTGGCTGCTCACTGAAAGGTTGGTGGTTTGAGTCTACTCAGAGAAGCCTCAGAAGAAAGGCCTGGTGATCTACCAACAAATCAGCCATTGGAAACCCTATGGAGTACAGTTCTACTCTGACATACATGGGTTTTCCATGAGTCGGAATGGACGACAACTGGCTTTAAAAAAAATTATAACAACACTATAATAATTATGGAAAACAGTAACTCCAGTATTTTTCCAAAGATAGCTCTGTATTATTCTTTTGATCTTATATTAATTTTATTTTATTATCATTGAGAATTGGAGCCCTGGTGGCACAAGGGTTAAGCACTCAGCTGCTAACAGAAAAGTCAGCAGTTTAAACCCACCAGTTGCTCCAAAGGAGAAAAGACCTGGTGGTCTGCTCCCATAAAGATTATAGCCTAAGAAACCCTATGGGGCAGTTGTACTCTGTCATAAAGGGTTGCTATGAGTCAGAACCAACTCGACGGCACAAAACAACAGACGACAGTAACAACAATGATTAAGAATACACTTATAATACATTGCATAAGTAATATGAGGGCCGAAGAGGGCAGTTTGTAGAGGGCTTTGACAGGCTGAAGAGCAATATTAGATTTGCTTTTAAGGATTAAGGGCAACATCAAAATGCTCAAAAATTGTACAAAATGAAATAAAAGTTTGGAATTCGAAAACTGATAGAATACTATTCTTAGTGAGGAAAGACCAACCCCTAGAAAAGGATATGTTTGGTAAAGTAGAAGGTCACTGAAAATGAGGGAACTCCTCACTGAAGTGGATTGACGCAATAGCCACAGCAATGGGCTCAAACATATCAAAGATCATGAAGATGGTGCAGGACCATGCCATGTTTCAGAGTCAGCGCTGAGTCAACGTTAACTAGTAACAACAACATTAGACATACAGGTGAAGATGCCAAGTAGGCAGTAGGCTTTAGAAGTCTGGAGTTGCAAGGAGAGGTCAGGGCTGGAGATACAAATTTGAGACTCATCGGCATACGGATGGTATATAAAGTCGTGGGCTTAGATCAGATGAGGAGAGTTCACAGATTGAGAAGGGAAGGCCATTCAGAAAATTCCAGAATAATATTCTATCATGGTTGGACAGTAAGTTGTTAGAGGAATGGAATTTAGAGGAAAGATGATGAGTGATATCTGAAGTGATCTAAGTAAAGATGTCAAGTAGGCAGTGGGATATGGGTTTGGAGTTGAGAGATCTGATCTTGAGATATTAAGAAGCTAAGCGTTATTATGTTCCCAACATGTGCCAGGAACTCTCCTAAGTACCATATGTATTTTGAAAAATCCTTATATAACTACTCTTCAGTGTGTCTTGAAAGATAAGGAAACTAAGAATCATAAAATTAACTTGCCCAAGGTCATCATTAATAAGTTACTGAGCTCAGATTCAAAGTCAGTTGGGCACTAACTTCAGGGAAAGTCCTCTTTACTTGGCTACAGGTTCCTTTACAGACAAAGTTTAATAAATAGCATTTGGTGCAAATAGCTTGAGAAATTCTTTAGCTGTACAAGTGGAATGAAAGCATTTAATACAACTAGGAAACATTCATAAAAAGTTGTTTTTGTTGTTAGGTGCCATCCAGTTGGTTCCGACTCATAATGACCCTATGTACCACAGAACGAAACAGTGGTTGATCCTGCATCATGCTCATAATCATTGTTATACTTGAGCCCATTGCTGCAGCC